GCGCGCCACCCAGAGCCCAGGCTTATCCCCAACTCACCTGTCTCGCAGCTCTGTACTGGAGCGTTGTCCGCTGTCACGTCTCGGGGGTGATCAGTCCCCGTGCGGGCCTCCAAATGTCGATGTCGCTCCCGGCCGGCAGGAAGGACACATGACAAAGCCTGGCAGTGGACAACCTTTTCTTTTATTTTCCTTCTCCGTACAGCCTGCCCTGGGATCGCTCCCAGCCGAAGCCTTCTTTGGTCCGCTCCCCGCGGCTCCTTCTGGGCTTCTACTTCCGGGCTTCTTCTTCCCCCCCAGGGGTGGCACCAGTATATATACGGATACAGTGTCCAATCATGTTAAAGTAAGCAAGGCAAGCTGATTGGCTAACATCATCAGTTGCCAGGCAGACTATATTGTTGAGCGGGTTGCTTACGCGGTAAGCAGGAAACTAACGTGCTCGATGGGAGGGGTAATCTACCTCAGGCTTTACTCTTTACTACAGGCCTCACGTCCGCCAAGTGAGGCGACCGGGCTCGGGGCTGCGGCTCCCAACACACCTCTTTCCCTTGAAAGCATGATTTCCTGTTGTGAGTTTGGAGGATTCTCCTAGACATGCAGATGATACACCTATATGGCTGGAAGACTTGTTGATTCTATTGCTATTTCCAATACATTTCCACATATAGTACAACATTTAAATTCCAAAATAAATCCAGAAAGAATGAATTATTACCTAATTTTGTGATGAGAAAACTGAAGCTTAAAACTTACTCAAGGTCAAAGCCACAAGGTCCGTAGCTCAGCAGCTAAAGGGTTGAGTCTTCTACAGTTAGGTCAGGATTGTTTTATTTTTAATTTTCAGCTCACTTAACAGTGAGATCATATTACAAACCGTTTTTTTACATTGGTTGTAAGAATTTCAGTACACTTTTCTTAGAAATAATAAAAGACCCAGACTGTCAGATCTTGCTCAGACAAATCAACTCTATTGAAGTCACACTATAACTGAATTATATTACAGCTCTAATAGCTATATGAACATTAGCCAAAGGCTATTACATTACTGAACTAACTCCTGGACATAGAGTGAAAATTCACCCATCTTTTCAGGGGAATCCATTTCTAACTAAAAAAGAAAAAGTACACTATCACATTATTCATCATTTCCTATGCAGGCTCTTTTTGATGGAACTTGATTAACTTTTAAATTGTTTTTAAATCTTAGGCCTTCTTGTACTAAGATCTAAAGATAAGTGCTGATTATAGTAATAATTATGAAGAAAAATGTAAATTCTTCATGGAATATTAACCTTAAACTTCGTAGCATAAAGATAAAAACACTGCTTCAGATTGTTTGGCTTCTTTATTAAGCAGTTGACCTTGATTATTAAATGGTGAGTTTGGATATCAAAAATGATTTAATTTTCCAGAATATAGAAGTTTACTATTTTGAAAGCAAGTAAAATTCTTCACTAAAAAGCAATAAAATGGCCCTGAATCAAGACCAGCAGTTTTTCTGAAGCTGTTGGTTTTAAGCAGGATCCTAATGTGATCTGTTGGCTGTTCCACAACTTTAGAAATGTATTGGCCAATTCATTAGAAAGAAACAACTTGCCCCACACTGGAAAGTCAGCCATGTGGGCCTGGAGGAGTGCAAGCCACAACCATGGAGGAGCACTGATGAGCACCCGACCAACATCTCTCCGCCACCCTGGGAATCTCTGATCAATGGGCGGAACTCAGGTGTCTGGCCCAGTTCCCTGCACTGCAGGACGGTTAGCCAATGCAGGAAACTCCCAGGATTCAGCAACTCACTGATTTGGAGGAACCGAGGAAAAGGTCAAGGTGATGGAGCAGGGTGCAGTCTCAGACCTCCAGTCCACCCACAACAAGTCTAGAAAGCATAGACACAAAATAAATTAAAGTCACACACCTGAAGTTTGAGATGATACTAACTGAAGTATATAGACAATTTAGTGCTTATATCGTTTAATTAATTTTGCATATCTATGTCTCACCCAGAACAAGGAGACATACACATAGAGGAAAGTAGATGCACTTGAAATTTCTCAGATGATGGCAACTAAAGTAAAGAAACAACTTAGTGCTTGTGCTGTTTGATTGACTTTGTGTGCCTGTGCCTGGGGGTCTGAGCAGTTATTTACAAGATAACAATGTGCATTACAATAACCATGGTTGATTTCCTTGTTTTTAAAATCCAGTATCTTGGGGGCTGGGGATTTAGCTCAGCGGCATAAGTACCTGCCTTGCAAGCAGGCGGTCCTGAGTTCGATCCCTGGTACCAATAAAAAATGAAAAAGACACAAAAAAAAAAATGTAAAAAAAAAAATCCAGTATCTTTCCCATTGTTTTGTGTTATTCTCTTTAAAATAAAAACAATAAAATTCATTAAAATTATCAGAAAATATATCACAGAAAATGTATCCATTCAAAACTGCCTGAGCTGCAGAGGCTTGTTTTGTTTGATCAAGAAATGAATGTGACTTTACAATCTGTATTGAACCATGAAGAGCTGGTCATTTAAAAAAAGCCATTAAAGTCCAAGTCTGAACAGCAGGCCTAAAATTGAAGGAAAATGCCCATCCTCTGGTAAAATGCCAGAGAACTGGCTTGGGGATGACCCCAAAGTAGATAGTGCATTTCCAAGGTCTCCTCTAACCTTTCAGGCAGCTCAGTTGACAAGACAAGAACTGGGCACCAGCTGGGGAACTCAGAACAGCAAAAACCATTTTGGGGTAGAAGAAGGAAGTGGGTCGAAAGCTGAGAATCTCAATAAATCAGCTGCCAATTGGGTAAAAACTGATCTGAACTTTAAAGTGCATTAAGTAGTTGGTACATGGGGTAGGTAAAATAACTACACTCCACAGAATGAAGGTAATTCAGAAAGAAATCTCTTATATACTCCATTTGATCTCTTTTGTTCCCCACTTGAGAATCAATACATAAGCCTTGGGCAGAGGACAAGACTTAAAACTACACATTCTCCAAAGGGAGTCCCCAAGCACAAGCCCAAATTATTGACATCTTTGGTTCCCAATTTTCAGGTTACCACTCAACAAAGAAAGATGACTTAAAAATCATCTTTTGTAGATATTACTAGATTTTAAATTGCCAATGTGTAGCAAGCTTTGTTGTTTTCTGTGTGATCATGTTGGCAAACAAATATTAAGTGGTTTCTACAAAGGTATATACGTCTTTGTTTTGTTTTACTTGCCAATGACAAATTTAATAAGGAAAAATAAAAAATAAAAAAAGACAGTATCTTAAAGCATACTCAAAATTTTGAAGAAAAAAATGTCTTCAAGGGCACAACTTGAAAATATATTTATGTCAGGAGTCTTGGATTTGGGGAAATTTGAAAGATATGTGAGGCTGATTGCAATGAGAAGGGACCAGATTGCTGCAAAATTGAGGTGGTGTTGGATCAGTGGACTTGCATAAGTTTTTGGTGGGGGGAGGAGAGAAAAGAGAGAGATTGGTTGAGGAACAATTTGTACACTGTTTTCATCCTTTGATCATATATATATATTTGCCTTCTTTCACCAATATTTTGCAAGTTTTCTGAGGTTCTCTTGACCACAACAGCAAAGGGCTGTAGCCTTTTAATAGCGTACAAGATGAAAAGAATCGGCCTCCAAAGAGACCCACTCCAAAGAGAGATTCAAAGTCTGTGGAGGACTTAGTGGTAATTTTAAATTCTGGTTACAAGAAATTCAGTACAAATTGGGGGAAGATGTTATCATCACTGAAGTAGAATTTAGTATTCATGGGTTGGTGGAAAGACTGTGACCTGCTCTCCTCATGTGCAAAACACTGTGACTGGAGGATGTCCCTCATTTTTGCGATTCAGACTCTGTTGTTTCTTGGTCTCATCTGGCAGAGGGTTCTGTGAGTGGACTACAAAAGGTCTTGATTGGAGAAGAAACACTACATAGTAATGACTTAGGATAATCTGGCACATGCCCCGCCTCTCCAAGACGGAAAAAACCTAGAACGGTTTGCAACGGTGTCAAAAAACCATCCAGACTGAAGTCTGCGTGCTGGCCTCCGATGGCCCCGCCCCTTAGCGTTCATTGGTTCCTAGTCCTGACGCCAGGCCCTCAGCCCCCCATCCCATTGGACCAGATGAAACCTGGGGCGGAGCACGAATGCTGAGGAGCTGCCGCTTGCAGAACTCCTTTCCTGGAGACGAAGTGGGTGGAGCCGAGGAGGGGCTGAGGGAGGAGCCGGGGAGGGCTCCCAGAAGAGGGGATGGCCTTGGCAGCAGCGCTGCGCCCGCGACGGAGCGCGCCCCCGGCTTTGAATGAGCGGGCCTGGGACTAAACTCGCGGAGCGCGAGCTCGAGGAAGAGGCCGGCAGCGCGCGCGTGCCTCGTGAGCGCGCGCGGCCCACGGCAGCTCAGAGTCTCCTCCGGGCGGGAGGGGGAGGGGCAGGTGAGTGTGTTCGGCTTGCGCGCGCCCGCGAGGGGCCTCCTCTCCCCACTCCCGCCCCGACCCCGGCCCGGCCCCGATCCGGCCCTGGTCTCTGCCGCCGCTGTGGCTACTGTCTGCCCTTGCTGCAGCCCTGCGCCCTGCCCGCACTGCCCGCTCTCTTGCTGTCCTCGTCGCCCCCTCTCCCGACCGGCCTACCCCACGCACAGCCGCCGCTCGGGTACTGTTTCCGGGTCACGGTGACCTGGGGTGAGCAGAGCGCGACCCGCGCGGGGTCGACGAGGAGCCCTCGCCACAGCGCGCTCACGCTGGGGAACCGGGCCTGCGGGCACCTGCGCGGTCCAGCCCGGCTGTCCCCGTCCCCCTGGCTCCGCGGCAGGGACACTACGTCTTCGCCCCCCTGCGGCCTCGCGCCCCTGCGGCGACCCCCGAACCCAAGTACCCCAAGAGGCGCCCACCTCCTGCGGCTCGGCCCGCTCACGTGACGCCGCGCCGGCGCAGGATGGGGCGGAAACGCTCCGGGCGCCGCGCTCGTCCGTGCAGTGGGTATGATTTTTTTTCCCCCTCAACCCATTTGAAGTGGGTAGTCTGAAATCAAACAGTTTTGGTTACGAAACTCAGAGTTTACTCGTCCAGGAGACCTTCCCCGACTCGGTAACAGTCTGAGGTCCCCAGACGGAAAAAGAAAAATGTTAACGTATTATAGCCAGGCTCTCAAATTCTCCTGATTGTGCTGCTTTCCACTTGCTGCTGTTGCACTTTTGATTTTCATGTTTGGGAGAAAATCCAGGTAAATGTTAGGTTTGGGCTTTGTGATCTTTAACCCACTTCAGAGAGTTACCGATTTAATGGGAAGATAGTCTACAAGATTATATGGTTTTTCAAGTGTTGATGTGAAAAATTTCAGCAGCACAGTTTGAGAAACGCAGCGCACATTTGCTCAAGTGTGTACCAATTTGAACTGATACAGATTCTAGATCCTCCTTTATAGGATCTTGAGCAGTTTCCTGAAAATTACAAAAGGATATCTTTAATCGCCGTTTCTAATGGATTGTTATTTTTTAAAATGTAGAAAAATCTTTGTATATTGACATAGCTGGGCCCTGTTCCTGTTCATATCTTAGAGATATCATTTCTCAAAATCCCTGAAAGCGGATTGCTTCACAGTCCTGAACTTTATTTCAAGTTTCTGTATTTTCCTAGAAACTATAAAGAAAACTGTAATTTTGCAACTAGTACTTTAGTATTGCGAATTTCTAAAAAAGTACTTTAAAGTATCCAAAGAGTAAACCTTAGATACATACTTATCAAATTGGTGATCCATAGGGCATTTCAAAAATACTGGACGATGTGTATAAATTAAAAGGTTTCTGAGGTGCAATAACATGTGAGAGCTTGGGTTTAAGGTCAGTGTCTGAATCCTGGATGAACGAATCTGTGTGACTCAATCATCAGTCAGCTTCATCTGTTAAATGGGCATAGTGACTTCTTGGCTTTTCTTGGGTTTAAAGTGAAGTGATAAAACCTAAGTCCTGAAGTAAATGCTCAGGGGATGTTAATTTCCCTTCATTCCAAAAATGTTTTGAGCATAGGTGCAATAAGTACTCTGTCCCAGGCATTAGATAAGACCTAGAAATACTAAACTGAGCAACACTGGTTGGGTCCTGACCCCCGAAGTCACTTGCATTTGGTGAGGAATTAGTATATATACAAACTTACGATATTTAGTCGGTTAAGGAGGTTCACTGTGCTGGTTTGAGGATGTTTCCTGGAAATCTAGTGTGGTGTCTGTAACATAATTGCTAATATATATTCATTTTATTGAATTGGAACATGCATGTGGGCTCTGAAGAAGAAGAATGTCTGCAGATCAATGTAAGTGTTAACATGGAAAGTGTTTCTTGATAGGCAGGTTGATTGTCTTTGCCCCTTTTGTTGTAGCTGGTTAGGAATTTTACCTTGAAAATTATCATCTCTTTACTAAACTACAAAAAGTTCATTATTAGTGAGGTCTTCTTCTCTTTTGAATTAAATCCATGAAGGTTTGAAGCCAAGTCACTAGGGGTGGCAGTGTGGGAATCCTTGCTTATCTGCGCGTCAGTGCTGTGAAATGAGGACAGTGGTGTTGTTCTCCTAAGATGGTTTTGTGGCCTAAGCAACCTGATTTTTGGTTTATGAAATGGCCAGTAATGGCGCCTGTTTCTTAATCCCAACTCGAATTTTCTGCAGAATGAACATATTCTTAATTTGTAGGGAGGTAATTCTGTTCTGTAGTCAGTAGTAGTCTCTTTTCTTTTTCATTTTGAGGTGCTGGGAATTGGGTCCAAGGCCTTCACCCTAAGCTACATTCCTAACACCACCCCGTCCTTTTTTGGAGGCTGTCTTGCTAAGTTGCCAAGTTGCTTGACCAGGTTGAGATCACACTTGGATCCTCCTGCCTCAGCCTCACAAAATGCTGAGATTATAGGTATACACCACCGTGCCTAACTTGGTTTTGTTTTTCTTTTGGAAAAAACTGATCTTTATTTCCAGTTGCTGTTGGAGTCCTTCATGTTGACAAACACTTACTGCATAATAACAACAACCAACCTTGGTTACTTGGTAACCATGGCTTTGGTTTCCAAGGCTCTAAGTGAAGTTTGTTCCGAGTTTTTCATACCTGTATATCCTGGGATGGTCCTACCTCCATTCCCTAAATACTGCCATTTTCTTTCTGAGTGTTCTGCTAGAGTGTCTTTTCCCTTTCCCCCCATGAGTCACGTGCTGCAAGTCTCTTTTTAAAATAATTTTATGAAAATTTATGCTAAATTTTCATTTGGGTACATTTCCTTTTCTCTTGGTTGAGGTTGTATTCTTGACAAATCAGCTTGAAATAAAGCTCTTATGTAAATTACCATCTTAACTCTACACATAACAAAGCAATCAAATGTTTCATTCTGGTTTTACTACTTAGCAGAAGGTGGCAGGCAGGTAAATACAGTCCCAGTCCGTAAGAGGAAGACTGCAGGGCAGTAAGCCATATAAAATAGCATGGTGCAAAGTCTAAAATGCAAGGTTCTCAGTGAGAGAAAGAGACTGGAGGTAAGCAGACTTTACGTTAATTCAGCAAGACATAAAAGTTTATTCTAGTCAGATTGCAGTGGAACTAGGAAAGCATATGGATAATACTGGGAAATTGAATAATGTCTTTTAAGCAGTTTGGGAATAAACTGAGAAGGAGTTGGTGTTGCTACATTCTTTGAACCTGAGTAAACGACTGACTGGGGATGCATTTGACAGCAGTATTTAAATTACTTGAACAGCACAGTTCATAATTTCTCCTGGTCACCTTTTCAAGCAGGACACCACCTCTAGGCAAAGGTGTTTAGTAAGTTACTCAGCTTAGGGGACACACACTTCCAGACGTACAGAAATGCATGAGCACTGCTAAGGAACCCTTGGAAACTCTACTGTTACATTTTTAATACAGTAATCTATAAGTGCTTGTCAACCCTGGAAAAAGAAATGACCAGCTGTACTTTGGGGCTTTAGGAGGGAACTGGCGGCAGTGACTCTACAGAACAATCACTACCAAGTATCTGGAGAATTAATTATGTTTTCCGTTTTTTGGTTTTGTGTGTATTTGAACTTTTATTTTGAGGTAGTACAGTTTGTATAGTAGGATATATGATGTTATTACATCGGGACCAAGGTATACAGATCTTAGTTTCCTAATGTTTCCATACCCTTTCTCCAGAGGTAATCACTGTTTTTTGCTGTTTAATTTTTAATCCACTTAATGTAAGTTAAGTTGAGGGAAAAAGAATTTTGTTCTGCTTTAATTCCCATGTAATTATTTTAAAACAGCATGTTGTTAGTAGAGTGACACTATATTTATCCAGATCTATCTATCTATCTATCTATCTATTTTTTTTTCTTGGTTTTATGAGACAGGGTCTCACTACATAGTTCAGACTGGCGTCAAACTTGCATGATCCTCCTGCTTCAGCCTCCTGAGTGCTGGAATTACTTGTGTGCCACCACGCCTGGCTTCCAGATCAACTTTAAATCTTTGTTATGTTTATAAAAGTTATTGCTTATCTTGCACACATAGTAATTTTTAAAAAAACTAATTAGCATTTAAATCTTGAGAAGGAATGCATAACTGTTTAGTGAAAGTTACCTGATAGTTATTAAGTTGGGTTTTAGTAAATACGTATAGAATGCAACTCCATATATTTAGCTTTTCTGTTTTGAAAAAAAAGTTAGTGTCACATTTTTCAGTGCCCTTTTTAGCTTTTAGGAATCACTGCTTTATGTACTATTAACCAATTTGTTTTTCTAAAGGTGTTCATGGGCTGGGAGACCAATGAATTTTAGTCGTCACCTCATTACTAGTTTCTTCACTTTCGGCAGCTCAGTTAACGTCAGTGTATTTTGTTTCCTCATTTAGAAAATTTAGAAATTGGACAATGTATTATCAAATTATTCCAACCCAGAAGTCATGATTCAGTAATTTTCCTCCTTGGACAAGTAAAAGAAAAAAGGCTAAAACTTGAAATCCTTTTTTAGAAACACTCCTGTGAGTGTGTGTATCCCCGTGTGATTTTTTGTAAGTTTATGTTCCGTTCTACCTCCTAAATTGGAAAAATGACCATCTCTCGTGGATTACTGTATTTTCTTTTCTTTTTCCTTCTTGACTGAAAGGGAGAATTCATGATTACTTAATATATGCAACTTTAACTTTGCCAAAATTCATTTTAGGGAATTTTAAAATAAATATACAAGGTGATTGAAAAGTATAGTGAATGTTTAACTTTTTAAAAATTTATTACAGTAAAAGTTACATTGCTATTAAACCCTGGAGCACCGTCACTTTGAGCCCACGCATCCTACCATTCTTGTCATTTCTGAGGAGGAACTGGTCGGACTGCTGGTCGCACTGTTGAGGCTGCCTCAGTTCTCTCAATTAATTAAAATGTTTTATTTTCAGTGTCGTTTTGACTTTGGAGAACAGCCAGAGTCACGCAGTGCCAGGTCCAGTGAGTAAGAGTGAGAACACGCTGTGCACTGTGTTCTTGGGAGCCCGCCTGTGTGCTGCTGTCACTCGGCAGCCCCCACCGAAGTGTTTGTCACATCTGTAAGGACACAGAGAGGACTTCAGGGATGCTTCACAAAGTGACAGGAGTGCTGGGCCCAGGGCGAGCGAAGAGGGGAGAATTTTTTTTTTTTTTCGGTCTTTTTCTTTTTTTATTAGTACCGGGGATCGAACTCATGACTGCCTGCTTGCAAGGCAGGCGCTTATGCCGCTGAACTAAATCCCCAGCCCCGAGGGGGGGAGGATTTTGAGGAAGATTAACAGCAATAATGTTCTCTGCTTTCTTTAAATTTTCTCTGTATATTTCGATCATACCTAGTGACACTAAAGTAGTATATACTATAATATGATATTGGTGACTGAAATGTGTGAAAAAAGGTGGAAACGTGAACAAATTTAAAAGGTTAGCAAAATTATACCTGTTTTAACATTTTTGAGAATCTTTTTATTCATATCATTACTATGTCTTTAGTTCTTAATTCCTGTACCACTTGTTTTATATAAAAATATGTCTCTTAATCATCGGAGGTATTTTGAGTATGCTCTTTAAGGACTCAGATGCTGGAATGGATTCCCTGGGTTCAAAGCCCCTTCTGAAACTTAACAGCTCCATGTCGTTGGGCAGCTTTCTTAACTCCTCTGGACCTTGGTTCTCTCACCTGAGATAAGGATTAGATAATACTTTCCTCACATCCTTCACGGGGTGTTAAGAACATTAAATGAGCTGTTACATGTAAAGGATTAACAAGAATGCTTGCTGGGAAGTAGCTCTTATAGGGTATTGAAATGGCTATTGTGAAATCAGAGTTGTGATCCTAGAGAAGTTTGGAAATACATTTGTTACTAATATTTGTTACTTTCCCCATGGAAATTAGGTCTCTAAAAAGGTTTCTAATCAGCACAACCTATTGATGGTATACAAGACTTCTTTCAGAATTTGAGTCAGAATCAGAAATTTTTTTTTTGGTACCAGGCATTGAACTCATGACCTTGTGCTTGCCAGGCAGGTGCTTGTGATACTGAGCTAAAGCCCTGACCCTGGAATTGTTTTCTTTTTTGTTTTTAATCCCCCGCCCCTGGAATTTTTTCTGACTTAAGCTACACAATGTTCAAAAGTGTCTCCATGTAGTTTAGTTTTGATGGCTACATAGATACCTGTGAAATTAGCATCACTTTAAAAATGTAGGTGTACTGCTTCTTGGGGTGGCACAAGCCTAGGATCCCAGATATTGGAGCAACGGGGACATAAGCATGGCAAGTTGCAGACTTGCCTGAAAGACATAGCAAGACGCTGTCTGTCTCAGAATTAAAAACAGGCTTGGTTAGAGCTCTTGTCTGGCATCCAAGAGTCCTACAGAAAATGAACTAAAAATTTTGTCTTTATGTGCGTATCTATTATCTCCAGAAGTTTTCTCATATTCCTTAGTAAGCCTTCCTTTCCACATCCGCGTTCCCCATCCCAAGAAACCACTCTGCTTTGTCACTATGTATTTGTTTACATTTTCTATAGGTCTTTAAAATACAGAATCATATAGGAAGTCCTGCTTCTTTCATTCCGTATAATTACTGTGAGTTACATCTGTGCTATTCCTTGTAACAATAGTTCATTTCTTTTATTACTGAGTACCATTCCAGTGTATATATCTGTATTCATCACAGTTTGTTTACCCATTCACCTTTTGATGCACATTTGCTTATTTGCATTCTGAAGCTGTTTGGATGGCTGCATGCTTTCATTTATTTTGGGTAGATTCTGAGGAGTAGAATGCCCAGGTAATGTGGTAGACGTTTATTTAACTTTGTAAGAAATTAACTGTTTTCCAAAGTGATTGTACCATTTTACATTCCCAGATGTATAGTAGTTCTAACTGCTCTGCATGCTTGCCGGTATTTGGTGTGACCATTATTTTTAGTTTGATCCTTTCTAGTAAGTGTGTAATAGTTTGTAACTGTGGCTTTAATTTGCATTTTAATGATGCTTACTGATGCTGGCCATCATTTAATATACTTACGTAAAAATAAAATTATTTTTTCCTAACCCAGGGTCATGTCGGTTTTCTTCTTTTTTAAGAAGTGGTAAAGTTTCAAATTTTACATTGTATGTAGTAGCTATTTTGAATTACCTTTTGCGGCTGCTGTGAGATATGATTGAAGTTTTTTGTTGTTGTTTACATGTTGATCCCAGTTTTTCCAGCAATGTTTGTTGGAAAAGACTATCACTTTTTCTGAGCTGTATATGCATGTTTGTCAGTTTAAGTTGTTCTTATGAGTGTGGGTCTATTTTTGTACTTCCCTTTAATCTAATTGTATATATTCACTCAAATAGTACATGGCTTTGATTACTGTGGCTTAATAACAAGTCTTGAAATCAGGCAGTGTTAGCCCATCTGCTTCGTTCTCTTTTAGTGTTTTGGTATGTATGTTCTTTGCATTTCCATTAGTTTTAGGTTAACCCCTCAAGTTTTAGAAAGTAAGCCTGCTGAGGTTTTGGTGGCAGTTGTATTGAATCTATAGCTCAACTCAGGAGGCTTAATATTGTAACAGTATTGAGTGTTCTAGCCCTGTAAAAGTCTTTTTAAGGGAATACAGGTCTTTTACATTTTTCTCATCAATATTTGGTAGTTTTCAGCATACACATCTTCCGTTAGATTTCATAAGATTGGATTTATGCTTGGCTATCCTATTTTTGAGGCTCAACTTTGTGTTTCAGTTTTTGATTGTTGTTAACCTATCAAAATGCAATTGATTGTACACTGCACTGAATTTTACACATGGGCAAGCAGTTTTACTTCTTCCTTTCCAATCTGCATTTATTTTCCTTTGTTTTGCTTAATTGTTGGTCAGAACCTGCCCTCCAGTGTTGAGCAGAAGTGGTAAAAGCAAAGGCGTTTGTGTCACATTCATGATCTTAATGGAGGTACTAGACGGTTTTCATTGTTCTTGGTCAGACTGAGAAAGTTCCCTTCTGTTTTTATCAAGAATAGATACTGAATTCGTCAAAGTTGTTTTCTTTATACTGAGATGCTTAGCATGTTTTTTTCCAGTGTACTAATACAGTGAATCACAATTGACTTTTGAATGTGACATCTGGCCTCCATTCTGTTTTCTGCTGTTTTCTCCTGTTTTTCTCCTGTTTTCTGCTGTTTTCTCCTGTTTTCTGCTGCCTGTTCTGTTGAGTAGCTTTTCATCCCCTTTGTTAGCTAATTGATTGTGGCCACATCCTACGAGAGGGTATTATTTGACCATTAAGAGTACGTCCAGGTGTCAGTATTTCATTGAATAGAGCCCCCAGATTTGTGAGTCACTGGAGTTCAATAAACTTTGTGGTTGCTTTAAACTTGTTAGTTATGTGACTTTGAACAAGTTGACTTACGTCAATTTTCCTATCTATGAAATGGGTATAGTAAAATCTAGCTATAGATTAAGAAGGTCTAAGTACTTTGAACAGTGCTGTTTTCATAAGATTCAGACTTCAAAATGTATAAAAAGACTTATTTTATACTGTTTTGATTTTTAAAAATTGTTTTTATTAGATAATATAAGCAATTTTCAAAAACCACTTAGAATGAAAAGAGTTTACTCCTCACAACTACTGAAAATGCTTTAAAATCTAGTTTTTGCCATGATTTGCATTTTCTAAAAAGTAACTGGTTGTGATTTATAGAGAAAAATAAAAATGTGATTTTTTCAGTTGCATAAGGACTTTTGAGTTTTACTTAAGAACAAAAATACGGCTTATGAAAGCAGTCTGACGCATTGATCTTTGTGTGCCTTTCCACAGGTTTTGATTCCCATCATGGCCATCACTCAGTTTCGGTTATTTAAAGTTTGTACCTGCCTGGCAACAGTGTTCTCATTTCTGAAGAGGTTAATATGCAGGTAAGTAAGTTTTATTGCAAGCTGAAATTTTATTTCCTCATTGGTTCTAGGTTCTTTCAAAACTTCAAAAAAGGCAAAAGACATACTGTTTAAGTTCCTGATTATAATATTTAGTCATAAATAGTTTTGAAATTTTTTTTTCTCTAGTTCAGATTTAGAAGGTAAAAGTTCATTTTTGTGTTTTCAAATGACATGCTAAATACTGCAGAATTTCAAAAATAAACAAAGCTGATTTTTATTACAGTCTTCCCACAGTTTTTATGCATTGTTTCATTATTGGAATATACTAAGGTGGCTATGTGAAGTTAGGCATAAGTATCTGTCTAAACTCGCATATGAATGTTACATTTATTTTAAGAACTTTAACAGAGAAGCCTTACAGAACAGATCATTTCTGAAGGAACATCCCAGAATAGGTAGGTAGTCCAGAGCCGGTAGTTAACCTCGGTAGATTATCTGTAGATTGCAGTTTCTTCAGTCTTATCAGATCACTGTATCCCTAGAGCCGTGACTTAGGACTTGTGCACTCAGGTGCCTCCGGGTGTCCTGTGACACGTAGGGCTGCCATAGAGATTTCAAGTTTTCCAGTGGTAGTCAACATCTGTTGAACATTGCAGACTCCTAACTCAAGAGTATTTCACATTTTCAGCACTAGATCCTGCAGCATTCCTTACCATGGAAGGTTCTTACTGCTTGAGATGAGTTTTGGATTAGTTGTATTTTTATGACATGGATGAACTAGAGATGATCATTAGAAGAAAATTCAAGAAAGAAGTGAAAAATTTAAGTGGTTGCCTGGAAATTACCCAGGAGGATAGGATTTGAGACATAGAAAAAATGGTGAACTAAGTGTTGAAGTCATCAGAGAAAAAATGACCAGAAGTTCACTGGGTCAAGTAGGATAAAAGAGAGTATTAATTGCCAGAAATACAAAGATTAAAAGAAGCATTGTGTTAATAGTGGATGTGAACTGTAAATGTTTGCCTTTCTAAAATTCTGCTCAATGTGAATTGGTTTTAGAATAAGAAATTTTACTTGATTTTAAAATATTAAGGACTTTCCTATCTTCACTATACGTTTCTGAACTACCATTTCTTGAATGTCTTGCTGTGTAGCGGGCCTTGTGTAGGTAGTTTACATGTGTTTACAGTCACCTTACAAAAGTAAGTTTGAATACTGGTATTTTATAGCTGGGGTTATTAAAGCTGAGAGATTAGGTAATTCTCACTAGATTCAGGAGAACTAACATTGAATACCATGGTTGACATAGATTCTACCATCCATGCTCTTAAAAACTGAGTGTAGTTGACCATGATTAATATCCTTTTTTTCTCGTAATCCTTAAAAATCAGTTTAAAGCAGTGATTTTAGACTTTTTAAATAGGTTAATAGCTGGGCTTAGCAAGAATCTAAGAAACGTAGTAAAGCGTGAAAAGCTAAGCACCGTGGGTAGTGTTGTAGAGATGCCCAGAGCTTTCCCTGCAGAACACGTAGCGCTCCAAGGAGTACAATTTGAAACAGCCATGCATTTTTTGTTTGTGACTTTGTATTTTTCTTTAGTTTGTCTGTAATTCCAAGCCTCAACAAGAAGCATCAATATGGTTCTGTCCAAGACTTTAATGACGCTAAGTCTGGATTCATACTTTTTCAGTATAGCTTAATTATCAAAGTCGGTAATGAGTTGGAAGCCTGAAAAATACTGTTCATAATTTTTTACTCATGCTTATTTTGATAGTTCTTGAAATAAATTATTTCACGCTTGTTTTAGGTCTGGCAGAGGAAGGAAGTTAAGTGGAGATCAAATTACATTGCCAACTACTGTCGATTACTCATCAGTTCCTAAGCAGGTAATTTTTTTTGTTTTGTTTTGAAAAATTCAGTATGTATTTCAGAACAGTATTTTTCAAACTGGATTGCATATTATTAGTGACAAAATGAATTTTGTAGTCAGGATTTTTGTTACGTTTTTCAGTTGTTATCGTTATCTTGACTCAGCTGATATTTTCTGTTTTTTCCCTGTGGTTTCAAGTGTTTGCTATTCTTTTTGGAGCACTTTTATATTTAGAAATCGTAGATAATTCCAACATTTATTATCATCCAGGGATTGGCATCTGTTTATTTCCATGTGATTAAGATTTGTTGGCTCTGTATATGCTGAATAATTCTAGTTTGTTTCATGAGCATTATGTATATTATGTTTTGAGACGTTGCTATATTAAAATGCTACAGAGAAAATTGATGTTTTTTGATCTATTTTTATCAAACAGCCAATATAGGTAGGCGGAAACTCTAGTTATGGGCTAAAGTTCTAATGTCAGTTCAGTTCCCAAAGCATTTGCTTTTGTTTTGCTTTTTAAGTTTTGAGAAAATGGTCAGTGCAGAACAAAATAGAAGAGAATAGAATATATCAGAACATGTAACCCACAGTAAAAGTATTTTTTAAACTTTCAATTTAGTTTTGATGTGTGATTTGAAATGTATGTTTTTCTGGGAATGAAAGTTTGCAGTCAGTAGTATTTTTTTTTTTCTTTTTATTGGTACTGGGGATTGAACTCACGACCACCTGCTTGCAAGGCAGGTACTTATGCCTCTAAGCTAAATCCCCAGCCCAAAGTCAGTAGTATTTTAGAAAGCCCATTTTTCTAATAGTTGCCAACTCTGTTGATCAATTAAATTTAGACAGATGTGGAGGAGTGGACGTCCTGGGATGAAGATGCTCCCACGAGCGTGAAGATAGAAGGGGGCAATGGAAATGTGGCCGCGCAGCAGAACGCCTTAGAGCAGCTGGAACCTGACTACTTTAAGGACATGACACCCACTATAAGGAAGACTCAGAAAGTAGGTTGGAGATGGGGCTGCTGAGGATTAAACTCTTCAAATTCCAATATGATTATTACTTAGTAGAAAGTCTATTTGTGTTTATTACTTTGTTTTGTCTTGTTACAAATTTTTATATGCTATATATAATTTAAATATAATACATAATTTTTATATTCAGGTAGCCTAGATAGATCTATTAAATTATATCCCCCGTCCTTCAACATTACGGCTGAGCATTGATTGAAATCAGTCGTATCTTAGATTCTGGGCTGCAGGCTGTGTGTGAGAGACTGAGTTGAGTACATAACAGTTCTAACAAGTTGACAATTTGGTGATGTCTGGAAACTGGAAGGAAAATCTCATTGTTTATAACCATTATAAACGTGGTGCAGGCTCTGAGAACCTGGCGTTCGCATTAACCATCTTGCTTTATTTAATCTCTTCTGAGTTGAATGCAGAGGGTCTCTTTAGAGGTACAGGAAGTTACTGGGAAAAATTCAGTAGCTGAGTACTTTACTTTGTATCCAAATAGCTTGTGTACTTTTTAAAAATCAAACAGTATAGAAGTACAGATGGAAGCATGACCGACTTGTGTCCCTTCCACTCAGTGACTTTTTCTGTTGGGGTTTTTCTAGTGCTTGTCAGAGTATCTCTGTAATACACATAATGTTTCCACCTGTTGATTTATGAGTCATAGACACTGTCCAATGATGTGCTAGGATAAGTGAAGATTTATTTCACAATACCCTTAACTGCCTTCCAACTTCTTTGCATAATGTTACTTTTACCTGCTCTATTTCAGAGAAACACAGTGCTTCATTTGTTATTCTGTCAAACAGGGAAAATATTTCTTACATGTATATACTTTATAAAATGAGGAATTATTTCATACTTCATAATAAGTTCCTTACCCTCCTCTGTGCTAGTCAATTTCAGCTATACATTTATTTTTGCATTACCAAGATTGATAATATTTATATTCCATTTCATTGAATTGTCCAGATTTCTTAATACTAAGAGGTATTGTGTGCTTTTCAGATATCCTTTAAGTTTCTTAGTAGATGAATACCTGTGTTGTGGAAGTGTATTGCTGTTTTCGGTAGAAATTTAGAATATCTTAGTAGTGTGTAGTGTCTTTCTAACTTATGATGGAAATACCTTTAATAAAGATTACAAAATATTAAGCAAAATATTCTAATACTAGTGGCATGAAAGAATTACTTGTAGATATCACAGTTATTTATTTAAAGTTAGTTGTTTAGCTGTTTGTGGTGCACACACCTATAATCCCTGCAATCAGGAGGCTGAGGCAGGAGAATCATATCAAGTTTGAGGCCAGCCTGGGCTACAAAGTTGAGTATAAGGCCACCCTAAACTATACACGTAAGCCCTGTCTCAAAAATAAGAAATAAATAAAATAAATTAGTTATTTAATAACTAAAAGTACCTAATTGAATTTAGGGATCTAAGAAAAGTAAGAAGAAATGATAAACTACAATATACATTTTTTTTTCTAAAAGTTCAGTACACTTCTTAAGTATGAAATTGATTTGTGTGACAGTTTTTTGGAAATATTGGTTCTTTGTACAGACTATTTTTGTTCTTGTTTTTACATTGTACATTTTGAAAAGAATGCATATTTTAAGTCATCATAAAATGCAATAGTCAGTTGTTTCTTTTTATATAGCTTAGTGTAAAATAGCCCTTTAATCCTACTTCAACTGATCTTTCAGATTGTTATTAAGAAGAGAGAGCCATTAAATTTTGGCATTCCAGATGGTAGCACAGGTTTCTCCAGTAGATTAGCAGCTACACAAGATATGCCTTTTATTCATCAATCGGTAAGTATTTAACGGGGTATAGGTAATATAAAGGTTTGGTTTTCTTTTTTTTTTAAAGAAAGGAAAAAACTAAATGAATTGAACATTATGTTTCTGGCAGTTTGAAGCATGTTTAGCAGTTTGCAAGAAGTCAGCCTGGAATTGTACCAGTGCTGACATTTTATGAGATTGTAAATTACGTCAGATACTAAGATCAGGAATTCATAGTACACAAGAAAGAGAGAAAATGTGCTATTTAAAAAGTAAGAGCTGGGAAAGATAACCCCTAACATAACTAACCTTCATGTTAACAGCCAGTGCGACTGTGCTTCTCTGTCCGTTGTTCCGTTCCAGCAGTGCTGGAAGTCAGGCCCTGCAGGCACGGCCAGTGCTCTCGCTGGTTCCGTCTCTAGCCCAGCAGCGTGTTAGTTTTAAGTGATACTTTTGTTCTCTCATAGAGTATTTTTACATTCAAAGTATGATTTGATTTAAAGTGTATTTGACTTAAAAGGAAGTTCTTTAAAGCTTAAAAGTACTGAACAAAGGAGACCAAAGTTGTCAGCCTTAGGAACACAGCAGAGTCAGCTGTGGAGTTTTTCCAAACAGGCACCGCTGGATGTGCTGGCACGTGCGTGCAGTCCCAGCACTGTGGAGGCCGAGGCAAGAAGGCCAGGAGTTTAAGCCCAGCCTAGACATTTCAGTGATTCACGGAGATCTTGTCTCAAAGGTAAAGCTACAAAAAGGTGCTTCCAAGGTAGCTCAGGACTATTAAGTCTGACTTCAGTTGCTAACACCAGAAAACAAAACGAAATCAGCCCCTCAACAGACACCTAGACTGTTCCTCAGACCAGAGCTTAAGCAGACTTTAATTTTATTATTTATTGTGTAGCCACCCCAAATTTAGTGATTTTAAACACTGCAAACATTTATCATCTCATAGTTTCTATCTGTCTGAAACCCAGGGCCACTAAATTGGGTGGTTTTGGCTTAGAGTGCCCAGGGCTTGACTGTGGCTTGACCCACACTGGCAAGATCTTGGAAGTTGACTCGCTCCCATGACCAGCAGATTCCTGCTGGTGATTGGCACAAAGCCTCAGTTCCTTGCCATGGACCTGTGCATGGGACTGTTGAACCTCCTTGTGGTGTAACTGCTGGCTTTCCCAAAACAGGAGACCCGGAGAGAGCAGCTAGGTCATGAGACAGGGTGACACACAAGGCATTCTTCGGACGCGGCCTTACAAGTGGTGCTTTGTCACTGTCATCTGACATTAGAAAGCAGTCACTAATTCCAGGCCACATGAAGGGAAGCTGGATGAAGCTACACTTTTTAAAGGAAGGAAAGTTAAGTAGTTTGGGGGCATATTTTTAAATCACCATATTTATCTGTCCTATGAATCTTATTTACGTTTTTTAAACTGCACAGATGCTTCTGAGACTTTTCCTTGGGAGGTCCACGTTCATGCATGTTTTGAACTCACTGCTCAAAAACCCTTCCCAGTAATGCATTCCCTGTGCTAGGTGCTAGTAATACAGAGCAGAAAGGCAGGGTTCATAGCTCAAAACAGTGCATTCTGCTGAGGGAAGTATAATACTAAATAAAAGATCATACACCTAATTACAGGCTTTAATACCTCTTACGCAGTTACTTGATATTGTGAGCAACAATAACATTGTAGATACTTCTCCAAAACATCATACTTTTAAAATATTTCTTAGTTTTAAAATTTATTCCTGTACAATTTGTAGTAAAGCGATTGGGTCCTGCCCACAGAATTAGTAATGCTTAACTCCAGACTGTCACTGTAGTTGTAATATTGCTCATCATAAAGCTGTTAACACAGAGCCACTTACGGAGCTGGGCAGGGGTGAATGGAGTATGTGTGTTCAGTGCTATTTTAGCCTATTTTCCATACCAGCAGACAGCGTTCGGAGGGGCTCTGATTCCAAAAGAGAAAATGGTAATCAACTTCACGTCATTCTCTATACCAAAAATACTTTACCATTCATTCTATAATTAGACTCTTTAAAACCAAACTTTGTATTTTTCTTCTGAAATTCATTATTTGTATTGTAGGGGCTCCGTTTATACTAGTGATACTTCTTTTCTGTTACCTTTTATGTTTTATCAATTTGTTCTTGGCTTTATAATTTGTTTTAGATTTTTTTTTTGTCTTTTTTGTTTTTATCGGTACCAGAGATCGAACTCATGACTGCCTGCTTGCAAGGCAGGCGCTTATGCCGCTGAGCTAAATCCCCAGCCCCTGTTTTAGATATTCTTGATGGGCAGACGTTTTTATTCTTTATGTAGGCAAATCTGTGTGGAAGGCCATCTCCACTAAAGATGTGACTCTTTTAGTTTTAATACTCTTAGTAGTTTTAACTTTTTTTTATATTGAACTCTTATTTACATAACTGCCAAACACCTGAGTGGACAAATAGGTAACTGTTATAAATGGAAAATTTACAAATGAGGAATAGATAACCTGGTAACATGAAGAAAACTTTGATCTTACTAGTTATTAAAGAAATTCAAAGTAAGTCTTTGCAAATTAGCATAGATAAAATAAGGCCAATATCGGTATTGACAAAGACACAGATAAACAAGGCTTGTACCAACTTGTCAGGAGTGTAAATTGTTACAACATGTCAGTCTTTGATACTTGGTTTCATTTGCTTTAGTAATGCCTCTTTTCCTTGAGTTACCTCCTTTTAGAAATAAATACTAAAGGAGATTATCAGAAATACTTTTTTAAGAGAATGTTATTATATATGATCAGGGGAAGAAAAATCCTAAACATTTACATTGAGGGCTGTGTACTCAGAACAGTGCCTGGGCACACACTGGTGCCAGTTATTACGTTCACACCTGACTGTCCTACAGTGGCCATGTTCATTGGTTCTGGGGTGGAAAAAAATGATTATTTAGAGGTCTGGCTTGGGAAACAGTGAAAGACATTGACCAACCTGATGATGAGGTATCTAGGACAGGGAGAAGGAAGCATGAAGGAGAAATAATACTCCAACACAGATAAGCTTAGCAGACTTGCCCTGCCTGGGGGGGAGACTGGAAGTACCATTGAAGATATGCAAGTTACACGTGCTCAACTGAGGAGAAGGGTGCCGCTTTGGGAACTTCTCAGTGCGCATTGCAGTCAAGCATTCCTAGTTAGGTCTGGGACCAGTCAGTCTCTTTTTCTCCACTTCTCTGTCCCTGTCCTCTTCTGAAAGGAGACACGGGGAGAAAAATGTATTCTTGTCTGTTCCAAACTAAATAAGCAAAAATAGAAATTAAATATAAAAGCATACGCCCATAAAATGTGAGGGGAAAGGTGGACTTGCCCAGGACGGTAAGTCATGCATTATTCGGGAAACTGCAGTTCTAGGTACACCAGGAGCCAGATCGGTATTGCCTGTATTGGACATAGCAGGGAAGTTGAGAAACCCAAGGAGAGCGAGGGGTGCTCAGTTGTGTTTTTAAAGGTATTCTTGCCTGCTTTGTGGAGAAAGGAAGGTTCTGCTCTCTCACTTTTGCTTTGTTTTTCATTATAGTCTGAGTTGGGTGACTTGGATACCTGGCAAGAAAATACCAACGCTTGGGAAGAAGAGGAAGACGCGGCCTGGCAGGCAGAAGAAGTCCTGAGGTATGTGAGTGATGTTTACCTCGTCACCTGACAGAAGAACGAGCTTTGTTTCCTGCTGAGTTTAAGGTCAAGGAGGGCGGCTCTGCCAAATGTTATTCTTTATTTGTCAGGTGAAAGGTCATCATTTCCGTAGATACTGGGACTTGTTCTGTTTCTGAGGCTGCATATGCTGATTTATATGACTAAGAATAAAACATTGTCAGAATAAAAAATAATAACCTTATGGATGGCATGCAAAATCATGTTACACATATGTAAGTCATGATACATCCTATGGAAGGGAGCTGTCACTCTACTGTGTATTCTAGGGAAGCAGCTATAATTTTGTTCCATTTTCTCATTGTTTAGTATAGTGCCCATCACTGCATATTTGAATGAAAAGTAGTATAACTCTTTACATCTCTACGTACATCTTAATCGATGTATGTGAAAGCCCCGTGAAGCAAGTCATAAGCCTCAGAGAGGTAAATGTTACTCTGCAGGTTTTAAAGTTCATTTTCATTGATGGTTCTTTCTCTGTTTTTGTGAGCAATGAACTTAGTTCTTGCTATTTATACGTTAGGTCAAAGTAAAGAGAAAATTTATCTTGAAGAGCTTGTCACTATGATTACTGATGAAAACTCACATTTGTATGTCTTAAGTTATTTATGCATTTTTAAAAATGTGATATGATTTTTTATATTGTAAAAGTAAGGTGATTGTATAGAAAATTAATTATTTTATCTGTTTTTCCTTTTTGTATTTTGCTTTTTTGTCTTTGTTGGTAAATTATCATTGTTTTTAACAGCCAGCAGAGGGTGCAGTTAAGTAGCTGGAAATTATAGGTGATTTTTTTTTTCTTTTAATTTTTTCCTGTTTCAACTTTTTGTTTTGTTTTGAAAGTAAGTAAAGTTGTGAGAATTTGTAATATTTAATTCTTGTTAAAAATTATGAACTGCATTTATATTCAAGGAACATCAAAAAAAGGACACACTTTTTTAAAAAAATCATAGATACAGAAGTCAGTGTTTTAGAAAATTTTGGGCATTTAGTGAGTATTAGTGTCATTAGCCTCAAGGACAAAGGAAGGAAAGAGTTGTTTATTTTAAGTTAATAATCTCAATGACAATACCATAAAGTTTACACCATTAGCTTTCAAATATCTTAACACCAAGTGTACCAAAACCTTCTCTTTTGTCCTATTCTTTTGCTCCCTAAAAAAACAAAAATGAAAAAAAAAAATTTACATTAAAACATCTTGGGAGAGTGACATTGTTAGTCACCCACCGACACACTTCCTCCTGAGCAGGCACAGACCACGGATAAGGAAGCTTCCATCCGTGATTCACGTCCCAGAGTAGCGCTGAGCGTGGCTGAAGCACAGCCGTGTTTGTGTCACCTTACTCTCTCCTTCCGGTTGCCACTATAAATACTCCCGCACTATCACTGGTATTTTTAAAGGTAGCAGATTCTAGGACCTCAGCAAGGAGAGGCATAGATCTGGACAAATACATACATAAATATTGTCTTCAGTGAAATCTAAAGTTGTTCTTGTTCAGGAACATTTGTTGCTGAGTTTGTATTTCAGCTACTAACCAGGTCAAAGCTTGATTACTTTGTTTATAACCTAGCCAATCTTTTATAGTTTGTTTGTTTGTTTTTTGTCTCCTTTTGTGCTACTAAAGTTCTAGGGTTTTTTTGTGTGGAGCTTCTCCTCCAGATAGGCAGAGCTAGTTAAAAACTCAATTTTCTTTTGTTCTTTAGAAAGTTAGAGAATTGATGGCAAAAGTCAAAATGGTGCCAAAAATCAGTTTTTGTACTGGTTTAAAATTTTGGTCATCATACATAGCTGAGTACTCATTTATATTTGATTGAGAACCATGCTCTTCACACTAAGTTCTAACTCATACGAATGCTGCCCCGTAGGCCACTGCATGCGCCGCGTGCCACGTGGTGTTTCTTATCACATTCCCGGATGTGACCTTACTTCTCACTCAACTTTTTCACCATTTTACCTGTGTGATATTTTCTAAAAGGTGTTTTTAAAATTATTTTCTCACACCACAAAGATTCAGATTTAGGGCCAACTTCCATGCCTTCTCCTCTCTTCTGTTTCGACCCTGCAGTCCTGCCCCGCTCATATCACTAAGGGTAGGGAGGCTGTGGTCCGGACCGGTGGAGTTATGGCAGAGCTAAGAAGAAGACAGCGTGTCCCGAGAGTGGGGTTAGGAAGTCACCACACTCTAACGCTCAGTAGGTCTGGTCAGATGGTAACCCGTAAGGAGATTTCTAGCTTGTCGGTGGAAGCTGTCTTAAGTTTCCGAGTGTCTTATGCACAACTGTGTTCTTAACATCTTTTAGTTGATTGTTTTAACTATTTATAATAGGAAGTTTAACCCTCAATATCAAGCCTTTAATAATGGTATTCTCCCCACCCCCAAAGAAAACGCTGTGGTGCATGGAAATAGTGTTTAAGTGGAAGTAATCTGAAGGAAAGGTAAAACAGTGTGCTTTTAGGCGAATCACAAAGCCTTTAGATACCTGACTTTATGTATTTGTACAGTAGAGACAATACCTCCTCTGTTTGGTAGGTTAAGTTCTAAGGATTCACAGGAATGCTGTGTTTCAAAGTCTGAAATTTTCAAACCAGTGAGAAGATGTAAGACTTTAAATACTTACTTCTTGATAATAAAAAGACATTATTATGTCTTCCTGGAACTTTTTCACCATTTTACCTGTGTGGTATTTTCTAAAAGGTAATAAGCATGTTTCTTTTCAGGCAACAGAAAATAGCAGACAGAGAAAAGAGAGCAGCAGAACAACAAAGGAAGAAAATGGAAAAGGAAGCACAGAGGCTAATGAAGAAGGAACAAAACAAAATCGGTGTAAAACTTTCATAACAAATGTGCTTCCAATGTCATAGTGCCAGTAGGAGAAATCTGAGCTCCACAATCCACGTAACATTATATGGATGTAAGAGTTTTTTCAGGATACAAACACCCTGCTTGATTTTAATGCATTTATCAGGCCATCCAGGACACAAGGATTCTCCCACACCTTGAACTGTTAGCGACTGAGACTCAAAGGAACAAAAAAGACGTATGAGGCATTGTTTTCCTCAACATGCTCCAAATATCAGACAATGTTTGCGGTCAAGAAATTATTACAAATGGAATATACTGGTACCTCTTAAGCTAGTATTTCTAGCTAAATAAATGTGTATAATTTTATGGTGAAAAAGGACTCTGCTACCATCCTTTCCTTCAGTGTGCATAATTATAAAATAAATAATTTTAATATCCTTCTGTTTTCATGTCACCTGATCTAAAGTAGGTAAATTGTAGGTAGGGCTTTTACTTCCTTATTTTTGTTGTCAGAGGCTGGTGTTAGCATACATTTTCTCTAATCTGAATTGGCTTTGTTTGTTTGAAACGTTAAAGAATTTGATTTTGGTTTTCAAGAAAATGACATGAAATGCAATAATATTTATTATAAATATTTTTTACATCATTTTTTTTGAATGGTTGCATTGATATACATGTTTGTAACTTATTAGCATGTCTAAACATTGAAATTCAGCTAAAATGACAAATTTATTTTACATTATTATAACTTGTGAGTTTTAAGAACTAATAGGGGTAGGTTTTCCTTTTCAGTATAGATTTTAATATGTTATGTTACCCTTGAAGTACCTTAGATCTTCCTCGCCCTCAAAAGCCATTAACTTGCAAATACACAAAGCCTTCAGTTCTGATAATTTAAGCTTTCAAATGATTTCTATATCGGTTTTAAGTATCCGACATAATGGAGATTACCTGTGTTGTTGGCTAAGGTAACATTATTGATTCATTGAATTATAAAGAAAGAAAGGAATAACCATCTGTTACTCACTGTGTGGATTGGCTTGCCTTAAAGAAATATTTGAATACTGTGTTCATGTTGCCGGGTTGGGGGGGAATGATAAAAAACAGATTTGATAATTTAAAATCCCATTAATTTTTCTCTACAAATTACATTAAGCCTGATTTCCTGCAGTTTCAGAACTTTCAAAGATTTTTGACTTTATTAAAAGTTACTGTGTTTAAAAAAAAAGTTACTGTCTTGAGTTACCATTTTGTGCAGTTGTAAGATATCACAGATGCTGTATAGGCCAAACATTGCTAATATTGCTAATGTGATCTGGATTTGAGCCCCAGCCCTTATCCCTGGACTCTGTCCCCAGTCCTTCCTTATTTTTCATTTTGAGACAATGTCTCACTAAGTGGCCCAGGCTGGGCTCAAACTTGTGATCCTTCAACCCCCCTTGGCGTGCCGGGATTACAGGCACGCTCCACCATGCCTGGCTAATATATTTAATTATTAAAGTGATATTTTTTAGTAAATTCATTATACAGTGAGACATTCCTAAGTTCTGTGGCTAAAGTTAGCCTCTTAGTATAATTATTTTTACTGCTTTTCCCCAATATTTGAAAAGTATTGGAGTTTATTTTGATTATGATTTTCATATGAGCAAGGTTTGTTTGTTTGACTGTTTGTATTTTGATGATTAAAAAGAATGTTTAGATGATATAGTTTGATGAATCGGGAACAAATATATATTTCTTACGGAAAAAGTAGATAGCAGTTCTGGATTTTTTTTTTTTTTACCACTGTTGATATATAAACAATTCCCCTATCAAATTGGGGATAAAGAGAAATCACTGAGTTAAACATAGGATGTATGCTTATAGACTGTTTTCTTTAATGCCTAAGTCTATCGTTGCTGTTTTTGTCTTTTTGATTTTAATAAAAATTTATAGTTTTAGAAGTTCATTAGAAATAAAGAAGTATGGACAAGTTTAAGTAAAATTAGTGAAGTATGTGGTATGTGAATTGTGCATTTTAGATAAGTAATCAGGCGTGTGAAGTTTACTTGTTGCTCTTTACTTAGGCATTTCCTTGTGTGAATTTCTCCCACTCCTCTTGGTTCCTTTTGTTTGCAGTTTAGACTAACAATATAAAATTCTGCATCTGAATTCCTCAATTTTTGACATGCAGTTGCCTCTAATCAGAAAAGTGTTTGTTCCTGGATGAAGACGTGATTGGAAAGATGATAAGGAAACTGGCATCTGGATTGAGCCTCCAAGAGCTACCAGTGGGGTAAACCCAACCATGGCCAGCTTTCTAAAAGCCCTGCTAATTTGTTAATAGTGGTTGTTTACTAAAAAAGATCTAGGTCAGATCTAGCTAACATGCATATCATGTTTAATATGACGAAGTTCAAATTTGGGATAATTTTTGTAATGGTTGCTATGTCCCTTATACCCTGGTTAAAGAAAATCTTGCAGCGGGTGTGGAAGCTGTCAGAATGGTTACTGGGGAAAGGCGTGGGATGAAACTGAGCTGGGAGGGTGATGGGGAGGGAGAGCCTACACATTGTTCTAGGGGAGCCCTTCCGTTGCTTTTGGTTCAGTCGCAGCTAGAACAAGGTGGTGGACCCATGGAAAAGCATATTTTAGTTGCTAATGCATGATACGATTGAGAACTAGAGTGAACTTTGAATTAAAACATTCTTGCAGTAAAAGACACATTACCATCAACCCCCTGAAATACTTCTCCAGTTTGAACAAACATCCCGTCACTCTTGTCATTTTCTGAAGCAGTAGCAGAAACCCTCTTTTGTGCATATAGTGGACCCTTGACTTAGGAACTCAATTCATTCGCCAGGGTTGGTTGTAACTCAAATTGGTTGTAAATCAAGATTGTTTCCCATAAGAAATAATGAACATACGCAAAATGAGTTCTGAACTCCCAAAGCACCCCTTAACTAACCATCTCAAAATAAAAAAAAGAGTTGTTATAATGTGCATAATTTACCAGGAACACCAATAATTTTCCTAGAGTATTCATCAAAAAATTTGTAAAATGTGCCTAGTTTACTAGAAACAATTTCATGCTGCCCTCACCATTCAAGTTGACATCTTTGGCTTGCAACAAGAGAGGATGAAGGGGAAGGTGGTTATTATTTGGCAGGAGAGTCCCGTTCCATAAGAACATGAGGAATCTGGCCCGCTGGTGTCCTTTCTGACCTTGGGAGAGTCTGTAGCCCACTAGGACCTGCTTCTGGCTCTCCAGGTGTCAACTTTTTCCACACTGAAAACTAGTCTGAGGTTGCTGTTCCTGTCTTTTCTTTAACACTGTTCTATAGTATGACATGGCACTGTCCTTAAGCAAGTGAATGCAGTGATTGATTGTTTTTTCCTCTGGTTGAGTGTTTTTGGCAAATGTTTGTAGCCCTGTCCAATTTTTTCAGGATTTCCTATATTTTACAAGAACTTTGCTTCACTGATTGCTGATACTTCCCATCCTCTTCAGAAAGCTTCTCAGCTGCCATTCTCTATTGCTCAGCAAGAAGTTGCTGGATTTCCGCTGTAGATAATTTCTCTGAGTGTTCCTCCATCAGTTCCTCAGGATCACCACTGTCTGCCTGCAAGCCTATGGATTCTTCTATAGTGACAGTGTCATCAATTGCAGGGTAAACTGAAGAGTTGGGCTCCTCTACATAGCTTTCAAAATCTCTCTCTTGTGTAACATTAGGCCACACGTTTTGCTAGTCAGATCTTAGTGTCCTTAGAGAGACACTGACCTAGAATTTCTCAACACCACACAGGAAAGGATGTTGTAATGTTCCTTCCAGAACTCTTCAAGGATTGAATCTGTATCTGAGATACCTGGAAGCACTTTAGGAACAGTTCTTTGGGGTGTAGCTTCTTAAAGTTCGCTGTAACCCGCTGGTCTATAGGTGGCAGCAGAGGAGTTACATAAGGTAAGAGAAACGCAACTGAGAGCCATGGGAATTCTTCAGTCAGTTTTCCCAAATCTTGTGGGTGAGCAGAAGCAATCTGCATCATGAGGAGAGCCTTGAGTAGTAAACCTTTGTCCTCTAGATATTTCTTAAGAGTAGGACAGAAAGGCTTCCTGATCCACTCGTGAGAAAGTACTCTTCTTACCAGACTTTTGCATAGATCTCCATAGAATGCCTAGCCTGTTCTTCATGACCTTTTTGAACACTCTAGGAGTCTCAATGATAAACCAAGAGAAGTTTTGTCTTAAGGTCACCACTGGTATTGGCACAAGGCAATAAGGTTAGCCTGTCCTTCATAGGTTGTGGCCTGGCATTTTCTTCTCTTCCTGCATAATGTATTTTCTCTTGGCCATTTTCTTCCAGAAAGGGCAGGTTTCATCACAGTTGAAAACTTGAGAACAAAAGCCATTTCTCTATCATTTTGAAGTGGGGCGTGTAATTTTCAGCAGCCCTTTTGTCGGCACTGATGCTTTACTATGCCTAACATAACATATGCCATGCACTGCAGTCTCGTTTTAAAATTTGAAACCATCCCTTAGTGGCATGAAATGTTTCACCATTGTCACTCTACAGATCATTCTTTATGAGGTCTGCATTTATAGTCCCAGCTTTTTCACAAAATTATAGACTCAGGCTATCACATGCCATCTGCCTTTCATTTGTCCACACAAATAATAGCTTGTCTACCTCATCTAACACTGTTGATTGTGACTTATACTAATTTGAGTAACACCTTTAGCAACACTAGCTTCCTTACACAAATCCATTATCTGTAAGAGTGTCAGAATGATGGATTTTGACATGCTGTGCACATTAGCAAGGTTGGTCACATGAATGCAACCCTTATATTTCTCCACAATTTCCTTCTCTTTGATTATGATGGCTTTCTTTATCTTTTCTTCCTTAGCTTTTTTTTCTAGTTTTTTTGGGGTCATTTTGATAACAGTAATGGTAGCAGTTATATAAAGCACTGAATGCACCTGGGCTCAGGCTAACATGTACACTTACATATGTTTTTCTAGCATTGCGAGTCTTTGTGTACAAATGCACAAGAAGCTAGCATGTGGCCTATAACTCAAGACTTTTTAGTCATAAGTTAAACCTAAAATTCAGGTCATAACCCAAGTTGTTCACATGTGAGGCTGGTTGTAACTTGAGGGACCACTATATCTTTAGTTGCCCTGTCATGACTTCCTCAATGCCCTAAGTTGATTGAGAATGTTTACCTTTCCTGATCATTTTGACTTTGGAGAAGAGCTAGAAGTCCAGTGCCAAATCTGCATAATGAGGTGGAGGAGGACACACCGTGATGTCCTCATGAACCTGCCTTTCCACTGGGTGTCATGAGACAGTAGCATGCAAAGTAATTTTGATCAGATCTTGTAAACAGCCTCCTCACAAAGTGCCAAAAATAATGAGGTAAGTGTGTTAGAAACTAGGGGATATTTTGAGAGATTAATTGCAGTGTCATACTGTAATAAAATTTTAAAAATTTAAACATTTTACTGTATATTTTCTTGAAGACTTGTAACTTTATTTCTGCCATTTACCTAGTTTGTTTGCTTTGGTTTTTTTTTTTTTTTTTTTTTTTTTGGCTTTTTTTTAGTTGCTTTGTGCTAGTAGAAAGAAAACTCTTTTGTGTGGTTTTCTTTTTAACATTAATCACAGGTGCTCTTCCATATTTGTAACAAGAGCTAAAGACTCCTTTTGTACTAAACGTTCTTGTTTTTTTTCTTTGCTTTCCAGTTTTTATTTTAGGCATCCCTTAGTCATGGCAATTAGGCATGCTTGGTAAGTAGTAGAAATTTTTAAGGACGTGTTTGCTTTTTCACCAAAGCCTCAGTCTTCTAGGATGGGAGAAGATATTACGTCCTGGGAAAACCTTCTCCTCTTCCCTTCCTCAATTTACGAATTTCTGTGTTCTGCCCTTGTGTCTTTGCTGCTGACACTGCTAATTCATAGCCAGTGGGTTGGCGGAGAAACTTTAAGTGGAGGTCTGGCCAATCCAAAGTAATCTCAGCCTTCTCTTTCAGGAGACATCTACGGCTGTTTTGTAAGATTTTCCTTACAAATTGATCAGATCACACCAACTTTGATAGCTTTTGAGAGCTGCAACTTTAAACAGTTTGCTTGACTTATAAGTTGTTTTTACAAATGGAGAGAGCAGTTTTAAGAATAGACCTTGCATATGTGTTAGTATGAGCACTCAGCAAATGTAATTGTGAAATTCTCTACACATTTTCCACAT